GAGAGAGAGAGAAAGAGAGCTGCTCACCCCCCTGGCACCTCCTGTGCCATACTGTCTTGGTCAGCCATGCCCCATGTCAGTTGCTACATCACATCAAGCACCATGATGATTTGTGCTGCAGGTCAGTGTGCTTGGAGGAGAGGAAGGAGAGGTGTGAGGGGTTGGGAGGAGAGGAGGTGTTTCCCTGTGCCCACAGATGCCCTCACCAGGGAATGGTAAAGTGATGAAACACTGCACAAAAGCTGAGCTGAAATATCATCTGCTGGTGGGTCTGTGAAGGATTCTAGCATAACTCCAACTTCCCAGATCCTTGTTTCATCAGGACTTTCTGCTGCTCCCCCAAATTCCTTCCAGACGTGTAGCTTCCACTCAGCCTGGAGACCACATGGCTTTTGATGGTGGCTTTATCCATGCTGTGTGCCTGGACTTTCAGAACAGGGTTGCTCAGACAATTGGCCTGGGGGCATGGTCTGGATGCACCTAGAGCTAAGAAGAGCTGGTGGGGCTTGGTTGTTCTTTGACCAACAGTGGGGCAAGCAGCAGTGTACAGGTGATCTGCCCAAGTGGTGAACAGTCAGTGGTGTGAGAAAGATGTGCAGACAAAGACTAACTCTTGACACAATGCATGTCACCAATGAGATCTCCATGAATGGCACGTCCACATGCACTCGGGGCTAGCGTGGGGCGACACAACTTCACTGGTGAAGGAAGCGGGTACGGGGCAGGAGGAGAGGGTGCATCACTGAGCAACGAGCTCACAAGTGCGGGGCTGCAAACAAACAGAAATGAACACAACTGCCAAGGTACAGGTGTCGGTCGGCTGGAGCATCCCACATCACTCTTCCCAGCCGTTCAGAGACAGGCGTTTGCTTCGTTTTCCATCTCACCAGGCACACGCTCCAAGCAACATGCTACAATCGTACATGGAGTTCATGTGGCTTGGGGTGGCTGCATTTCCCCTGTCCAGTTCCTTCCAGAAAGACTTGCCTTCACCCCTCCTCTCGGTCATCCGAAAAGGGTTAGAAATCTGCTAGCAATTATGGGGCCATATATGAAATCTACATTTTTGTTCCTCTGCTTTGACATTACCAGACATCTCATGTAACTCTTGTAATATTTACAAACCAGTAGAAGAAATACAATTTTTTTGTCCATTTTGTTCATATCTTTTTATAACACTAAATGTTAAATCTCCATCAATCAAACACAATTACACTGACAAGCTCAAGGAACTGGTGTCCCATTCCAAACACCCACCTTCCCTGGTCCCCAATCAGCTGAGAGGCAGCAGGAAGCAAGAACACAGCTTTTTGGGAGGTGATGAGAAAGATAGCAATGCAAATGGGGAAGAGAGATGATGAGGAGAAAGAGTTTCAGAGAGAAGGGCCTGAGACACAAGAAAAGCCACTGCAACATCTCCGTCAGAGGATGGAGCAGAGGAAGAATAGTAAAAAGCATTAGACCTTGCCTGTGTTTCCTGTATTTATCTGGGATCACCTCTGAACAGGTGCTTTGAGCAGTCTCTCAAAGTTCAGGAGAAACGGGGATTTTTACAGCACCCTGTGAAGCACACTGCAGCTCACAGGATCAAACATTTTCTTGGAGAAACTCAAACTCCAACCTACCCACAATTTCCCTAGGAAAAGCCATTGCCAGGAGCGGGGTTCCCAGCAGTTCTGCAGACAACAGGCATACTTGGTGTTGGTGAATTTTCTCAGAGAGGTCTGCAATTAACTGGCTTTCACCCTATTTCACAGCCATGCAACAGAGACAAAGATCTGCTCAGGGCCTGCAGGAAAGACCAGATCCCACCACAGGAGCTGGGGCCATTTCCCCCACTAATGGGCAGATGGTTTCAAAAAATGTGTGTCCTGCTTTTAGTGACTTATCTCCATTTTAACCATATGCCTTGACATCTAAAAAAAATCCCCTCAAAATTCCTTTGAACCAAAACAGACTAAAACAGACATGAGATAATGAAGTGCCAGGACTTGATGACCACCACCACACCGCAGGGTTCTGATGTGTGTGACCCCACTGCCTAGGAGTGACCCCACGGTGACAAAAACACATGCAGAGAACAGGCGCTACCATAGCAACCGGGTTGACATCAAAGAACCTAAAGTGGGCTTGACTCAGCCCTTAGGAGCAGCCTGTCACAGCAGGACACTGCAGGCTGCCCACGTTTTTCAATAAATAAATCCTGTGGCAATAAATCCAGGCATAGGTACAGCCCTGAGAAAGAGCTCTGTGGTGTTTCTCCTCATGCCAGTGTGCAGGAAAGGGTGCAGCTCCCAGACCTGGCTCATGGAACCCGGATAAGCTCAGCACCATACCATGGGAAAGAGGAGGCCTGCTGCAGCAGAAAATCTGGACTTGTTATTAAGACTCTGAATTCAATGACGCTCCTGAAAGTCAGGCACGAGGACTGGCATGTCTGAGTGCTCTGAAGGATGCAGGGCATTTTTTTTGTGGGCTGACACACACCAGACTCCAAAGGAAATGCCCAAGTCCCACCAATGACTGCCTTATTTTGGAGGAAGGGAGCCATCCCTGGATGTCTTGGATGGATTTCAAACACCAGCTGCCCACTTGCAACTTGCAGGTATGGCTTTGGAGTCTGGAGAATCGTAAACAACCACCATCCAACCCTGCAATGCCCAAACTTCAGCCTCTCATGTGCCTCTTTAATGAATTTCCTTGCACTTCTGGCTGCCTGGAAGGAGCCCTTGACTGCCTGCTTAATTGCCTGCCTGCTCTCTTGGAAGGGCTGAGCTCAGCAGCGCTGGCAGTGCCGCAGCACAAGGCAGCAGCCTCGCCGGACTGTGCCCCACCCAAGCAAAGGTGGAGACGGGCTCACAGGCAGAAATTCCCACTTTCCTTCCCGGCAGGGGACCACCTGGTGGGTATCCCCTCCCGCAAACTGCAAGGCCAAGCTGTTTCCCCCTTGCCTGCATGTGGGCATGGCTGCCAAGTGTGCTGCCACTGCCCCAGTGCCCAGGGCAAAGACAGAGGAGCAACCTGGCTGCTCGAAAGCTGAGTGGCTGAGCACCTGTAAAACACTCTGCTGTCCTGGGATGGTCACTCGACTTCACTGGGCTAAATCAAGCTCTCCCCTGCACACCTCTCTCTCCAACAAAGGCCCACCTGATAAACTCTGTGTTTTATCATCTTTGCTGCTGGTGGATTTTATGGCTCGTGACAGGCCAGGGGACACAGGAGTCTTCTCTCCACTGCCCCGACCAACACACAGGCACTGCAGCCCCTGCTCACTCTGGCTCTTGCAGCAGACCTTGTGCTGGTGTGGCAAATTCCAGCCACCACCCAGCATTTTCTCAGTCCTGTTTCTCACAGCTTTTTCTCGCCTCCCCATTTGGAACCACTAAAGCCTCTCCTGTTGGCACCTCTGTGTGTGATTCTGCCACGTGGGAAGTGTGGGGCACTTTCCAGCAAGACCAGCACCCTTGAGATAAGAGAAGAGCAGGGGAAATTGTGCCACCCACTTCTTCACTGCATCATTTTAAGCTGATTCTTTGTAAGCCCAGGATTTTGGACCTGATATTTGTTTTATTTCTTATATTCGCAGGTCCTGGATATTTTCTGATCCAATTTCTTTCAAATGTGGAATTTCCAGTGAGTTTTGTAATAGCAGTGGTATACAGCACACACACATGCACACACACACACTCACCCTTACACAGCCTACATTTCCTTTTATACCGGGGAGGACAGTAAGAACAAAACCAACAAAGCAACAAAAAAGGGTATTGGCTCTATTTTTGCATGTCTACCAAAATGGTTAGGAATGACCAGATTGTGGTTTTCATGTTGAGGTATCGTTCCTTTGTACACTGTACCTAAAAGGAATGGCTGCTTGGTGACATCCAAGGTCTCATCACTCACATCCCACCGGCCCAGCCTCCCATCCCCAGGAGGAATGGTGACTGCACTCTTCAGTCCATAGTGTTGTAGGCCAGTCCTGGTTTCTTCTGCTTGCTTGGACAATTGCACATGAGTGCACACCCCCATGTGTGTGTCCAAGCACTCATGCATAGCAAGAGCTGGTACTTGGAGGCTGAGAGCCAAACAGGTTGGAAGTAGGAGAGGAGAAAAAGCTTAGACAACGGTGCAGACTGACTCTTGCAAGCAAGGTGGCCAGAAGACAAAAAGCCAGTGAGGACACAGGAGAGGGGACAAAATGTGAACCTGTTTTGTAGCTGCCCCTCTCTCCTCACCCCTCTTCTCTGCCTAAGTAATCTCTCTGCATCTTGTCTCACACTTAGAAGGCAGGACATTATCTACAACAGGATGAGTGTAAGTACACATGGACTGTTCATTTTGCATGCTTAGAGAGAGCAAGAGAAAGAAAGAAAGAGTGAAGACGGAGCAAGAGCCACACATGCATGCACGCACGCACACAGGCATACACAGGAGAAAGAGAAAGACACCTGGTTGAATTGAGAGGGGGGGAAAGGAAGAGTATTTTAAAAGGAAAAAAAGAAAAGTAGGCTTTCAGTGGAGTTGACACAGCTTTAGATTAGGCCTGAGGGGGTGATGTTGCATGAAGGAGGGGACAGGAAAGAAGGTGTTTAGCAAGGGCTGGGTGCACATGAGTGCAGGGTGAAGTGAAGACAGGAAGGAGTTCTTCACAGGACACCAGTGTGCAGAGAGAGCTTCAGGTGACTTGCTCTGGTTTGTGGCTACTTTTTTTTCTTTTCTCCGTTTTTTTTTTTTTTGTTTTTTTTTTTTTTTTTTTTTTTTTTTTTTTTTTTTTTTTTTTTTTTTTTTTTTTTTTTTTTTTTTTTTTCTTAAAAGTATGAACTGGTCGAGCATTAGCTCACAAAAATGACCCAGGGCATCCAAAAAGTTAAATGGCTATAGACACCGAAGCAAAGACCTCTTTCTGCAAAAGAAAGAAAGAGGAGGAAGGAAGGAAAGTGAGGGAGTATGGAAAAGAGGAAGGAGGAGAGAAAAGAAAAGGGATCTTCTTTTTGATTGGCTTTGCAGGTTTTGTTGGATTGTTTGCATTGCAGCATCCTCTGGCTACATGATCCTTGCTGGTGCCCCATTCTCTCCCTCGCTTCGTGTTGCCTCCTAGGCAGTCGATGACTTGACAGCAGGCTTTTCAGGTTTTGGATTAAATGTTGCTGAGTCTTCTTTGCTGTAATTTTTCCTCTCCCCCCTCTTCGCTTCTGAACACACAAAAGTTGTGAAAGAAACAGTCGTCTCTCTCTCTCCCCCCCCCCTTTTTTCTCTCTCCCCTCTCTTCGCTCTGTCTCCTGTATAACGCGTTTTGTTTTGTGTGTTGTTGTTGTTGTTGTTGTCGTGTTGTTTTTTTTTAATTATTATTAATATTATTATTTTAATTCTGATTTGTATTAACATTTGCTGAGTAGGCAAAGCAGGGACGCTGCCAGAAGCCACAGTGGGACGGCCAAACTCATGGAGCCGTTGTCTACTCTCCCTGTGCCGGGTCCTGCAGGGTGCGAGAAGGGAGAGAAAAGAAGACAAGATTACACGAGGCTGGGTGAGATGGGGGCGACACAGGAACACAGCACTTCAGTCCCAGGCTGCTCCTGCAGTGGTGGATTTGGACTGCAGGGCACAGCCGCCTTCCCACCTTGGTGAGCTCCCTCCAGCCCAGCTCCAGGCTGCTGCTGCCTGCTCATCACCATCCTCCTTCCCTCAGCCCAACATTCCAGTGGCATGTGGCTCTCTAAACAGCACCCACACTGGAGGAACATGGCCTGGAGCAAGCGGAAAGGCTCAACCCTGGCTGCTGACCACATCCCAGCCCTTGCTGTGCCTCCAGCTGGGAGCTGTTGGCCTTCTAGTGCAGGGATATGGTTCACACCTTTGCAGATGGTCACCACCCCCACACCTGCCCGCTCTGCCGCTTTCCCAGTGGTGGCCCTGAGATGCCAGGACTCTTTGTAATTCTGCGCAGTGGCTGGTACCTGTCTGCAGGCTCCACGGGAGCTGATTCATCACCGTGATCTGATCAATAAAACACGGGCCCAACCAGCAGCCACGTCCCCTCCCTCCCAGGGCTGCCCTGGAATGATTTGTTTCTGAATCGGGGTGGAGGAAGGCTTCGCTGTGGCACTTACAGCCCCGTGGCACGACACCTATGGGGTGAGGGTGCAGGATATGACGGGGAGGTTGATTTTTCATGAGGGTGGGAAATGAAGTTGCACGTGTGTGCATGCGCATCTGCCGGCTCCGTCAGAGGGGGCAGGGAGAAGCGCGCTGCTGCAGCAACAAATAATGCAGCCTCGCTCCGGGAATATTAAGCGCTAGCACTCCTGACATCTTCTCATTCATCCGCTCGTTTATGGGCTCCCTTTTCTGGATGGTTTTAACGGCAGTGATGCTGTTTTAAACTCACTCTGCAATCCCAAGCCTCGGCAGCCTTTTCTTTATTACTGGTCAGGGAGGTGCATGTGGCTGTGGGTCTGTAAATGCAGGCTCCCCATGCATATGTGCACAAAGTGCTCGTGTACGCATGCATGCATGTGCATGTACGTGTGCATTTGTATGTGTATGTGCCTCTAAGATGCTGGAGTGTGGAGATGGAGGTGAGGTTTTATGTTGGAACTGATCCTGATGTGGAAGAAAGAAGTCATGCTTACTACCAAAAAAAGCTGTTTCTTATGGCAGAGGGGAGCCAAAAAAAAAAAAAAAGGCCCTGTTCAGGAGAGCTCCTTGAGACTGAAGTACAACTGCTCCCTCACAACCTGCAAGGTGAAGAGCCCTGCTTCCTGGGTGGAGCACAGGTGCCACAGGCTTGCTCAGCAGCACAGTCACTATTAAACTCAAGTTGCTGACTAAAAGGCAGCAAATCCAAGAGGGATATCTCCAGAATCCCTCAAATTCCGTTGTACTTCCATTTGTCTGATTTCTTCCTAAGGTAGATGACTAGAGTAGCTGTTTGTGCCCCAGTTCTATTCTTTCATTATTAAGTAAGTATGTGCTGATTTGTGTGGAAAAATTATGCTCCATCTACGGCTTCTTTTTTTTCAGTTAGTCCACTTGCATCTTTTGTGTCTTGTCACACAAATCCTACAACACTGGGTTTTTTTCACTTGTTTTATTTCCTTCCCTAAACTCAGGAACAAGTTTGAGTTCAGCTACTACCCCTACCTCACCAATGTTTCAGAAAAAGTATCTCTCACAGTCAAAATAATGGTGTGGTGGCTGTTTGTGACCTTTTGCATCCCTTTTTGGCACAAAATATGACTCCTCTGGCCCAGCAAATAAACAAGAGTACACCAGGCAAGGTGTGTTTGTTGCCCACAAAAAAAATTCAGCCACCACATTTTTAATATCTGGCTTAAATAATATGGACATGTACATATCATACTCATGACAACCATTCCTCCTCTTTGCCATTTTCCTAGGGCATCCATACAACCAGAGCAAGAGCATTTGCACCAATGGTGGCAAGCACTGCACACCCAGCAGAGCAGAGGCAAGGGGACATTTAACCTTGTCTGGGTAGTGCTGCCTTAATGCATCTACATGCACAGATCGGGGTTTGTGAGCTTGGTGGGGACTGGGGGCAGGGACATGGTGTGGTGTGGTGAAGAGATGAGCCTCTGCAATATCCATGTATAAGAAAAGACACACAAAGACATATGGTGTGATGGAGAACTTGGGAGAGGGTCACACCAGCTTCTGCTTGAGTTTGAGGGCTTTTGAAAAGCCAAAACTCCCATCTCTAGAGATGAAAAATGATACATGTTCTTGTGGCTCCCTGTGTGTCCCAGTCAGATGGCTGCAGAAACCTTCCATGTGCAGTCCCGCTCGTATTCTGTGCTACACCACAGGCTAAGACCAGCAGCTGTTCTCACCAGCAGGCCACGCAGATTTTGGGCACTGTGTTAGGCTGAATGGGAACACTGGGATCCAGTGTGGCCTCTGCACATAACCCTGGGGGCCACATGGAATCTGGGTTTTAGAGCACATAGAGTACACGCCGTGGGTGCTACATTTACTGTCACAAGCACTGTAAAAATGTGGGGCGGTTATAATTCTATCACAAAATAATGTTTCGGAGGACAACAGCTGTTCAAGTGCAATAAGAAAGAGTGTGAAAGTGCTGGAAGAAAATAAAATGCTTGTCTTTGAGCGAGATTTTCTGCAGGAAGTAGCATCCATTTTCAATTCATTCTATCGCTGTCACCCTTCCCTCCCAGGCACACCTCAGGCTGTGCCAGCCCATGTTTGCATGATGACTTCTTCATGTGTATGCACGAACAGCTGCTGCTGTGGGCTGTGCACGACCCTACCACTCCCCACAGCTCCACGGGTGAGCGCCCACGCTGGGGGGACAGTGCCAGCCCCACAGCGGGCACGGTGTGCTGCCGAACCCGCACACCTGCACACTGCCCTCCCCGAGCGTGCCCATCCCCAGGCTGCTGCACGGCGGGACCTGCACATGTGGCCAGGCACGCGTGGGCACGGCTCTCCCGGTGGGCACGGCTCCCCCAGGTGTGCACATGCACACCGCAGCCCCCAGCCTTCGAGCGCACAGACTCCCCACAATCCCCCATCCATGCAGCCCCCGGCGTACAGACCCCACTCAAACCCCCTGCCCTGTAGCCCTCTCGCCGTCCCCGAACATCCCCTCAGCGTCCCGGTTCCACAACCCCCATGTCATAGCCCCCCTTGCCATCCCGTACATCCCCTGCCCATCCTGGGTGTCACATCCCCTGCCCATCCCGGGTGTCACACTCCCTGCCCATCCCGGGTACCACATCCCCTGGGCATCCCGGGTGTTACATCCCCTGCCCATCCCGGGTACCACATCCCCTGCCCATCCCGGGTGTCACATCCCCTGCCCATCCCGGGTGTCACATCCCCTGCCCATCCCGGGTGTCACATCCTCTGCCCACCCCGGGTACCACATCCCCTGGGCATTCCGGGTGTCACATCCCCTGCCCATTCCGGGTACCACATCCTCTGCCCATCCCGGGTGTCACATCCCCCGCCCATCCCGGGTGTCACATCCCCTGCCCACCCCGGGTACCACATCCCCTGCCCATCCCGGGTGTCACATCCCCTGCCCATCCCGGGTGTCACATCCCCCGCCCATCCCGGGTGTCACATCCCCTGCCCATCCCGGGTACCACATCCCCTGCCCATCCCGGGTGTCACATCCCCTGCCCATTCCGGGTACCACATCCTCTGCCCATCCCGGGTGTCACATCCCCCGCCCATCCCGGGTGACACATCCCCTGCCCATCCCGGGTGTCACATCCCCTGCCCACCCCGGGTGTCACATCCCCCGCCCATCCCGGGTGTCACATCCCCTGCCCA